GAAAAAATTAATGGAAAAATACAAAATAAGAGAAAAATATAGAAAACTTTTATAAAAGTTCTCTTATATCTGACAAAATTTTATGCTTTCAAATAAACTTTAGGATAACCTCATTTAACCGGCTTTATTTAAGTATTATTATAACACATACACACATATTCAAGGACAAAGAATAAAAAAATATAACAAAAAAATCAACAAGATGAATTCAAGTCCTGAGATTACGTGACGGACATTTATAGATCATATATTTACGTGTTCATCTAATAATTTTATTAAAACTAAAAATATAGAAGTCAAATAAAAAAAAAGGATATTCTAACGATACATAAAAGTGTTGTTGAATTGAGCCTAACTTCTTACTATAATATAGTTTACTAAAAACTGCTTTCATTATTCAAATGTCCTTTCATCTTCATCAACATAACACCAATGAAAATTATGTGTACTGAAGGCTATCTATTTTTTTTTTTTTCCTAAACTTGTTTATATTTCTCTTAGGTTTCTTGTTCTTTTGAACACAATATACAGTTACTACTTTATTTACTCTCTCTCTTTGTATGATATCCGGGATTCTATTTATCTATAATGTTTCAAAATATGCGTATATAACGGTATAATATAATATGACCGTAAGTATGCGTTGAAAATGGAATATTTTTGTCAACTAGAAAAGAAAAGATAAAAAACAATCACAAAAGAAAAATAAAAAGAAAAGAAAAAGATCTGCATTTTCTATCACTTCATTTTATTATAAAGGAATATTTTAAGGCATTTTTTAATGATAAGCAAAAAATAAGAAAAATAATAAGAAAGAAAGAAAAAAACATGTTCTTTTCTTTTCAGTTCCTGCTCCTCTTGTAAATAAAAAAGAAAATTGTAATAATAATAAAAATAACGGAAAAAGGATATGGGTAACAGGATTAGTATAAAAATAAGTTACAGCCTTCTTTTTTTTCATATCCTTTTTGGATTACATTTTATACATAAATAATCCTTAGAAGAGTTCTTTTACATTTCTTACATTTTTTTTCTTTTTTTGTTTTTGCTGCTTTTTTCTTATTATCTCTGCTTTTATATTTTATAAATATGGAAGAATATTTTATCTATCAAGTTGGTTGGTTTGCTATATGGAGATGCAAAATATTTCTTTAGTTACATGAAGAAATAAAAAAAAAGCAAAAAAAATATAATAAGAGTAAAAAAAAAAGGTTCTTCAAAATGAATATAAATTTTCTTGTGAAAGAAAGTAGGAAAATTTTACGAAAAAAAGTGGAAATAATATGGATAAAATATTTTTTTTTTTTGTACTTTATATCATAAGATTTATAACTGAAAGACATCCTTAATTAGGGTCAAGTTTTAATTAAATTTTTCAAAAACTTTTATTAATTTTCATGTTAAATTTTCATTCATTTTCATTTTTATTATATCAACATTTTTTTTTTCATCTTCTTTTTTGATTTCTTTTTTTTTTTTTGCTAGAGGACATATGTACAAATACAGTAAGATTTTATTTTATATTCCATTTTTATGCTTATCTTAAAATTATACATAAGAAACTCAAGGGCATTTTTATTAAAATAAAACTTTATATTTCTATCAAAAAATAAATCAAAAGATTTAAAGTTTATTAGAGTAGACTAGGTCAGCCCCAAATAAGTGAAAGAGAAAAAAAGAGAAGGAGAGAGAGAAACATGATATTTTATGGACACGTTTTATTTTTTTAGTCAATTAACGATATTTTAATATCTTAAAACAGATATCAGTATAATACCAGTATAAACTTTACAAATATTACAATATCTTCATAGGAGTTTTAGTCTTTTTGGAAAAATTCCCTTAAGAGAAAAATTAATTAATAGTGGTTGATTGATTAATTGGTTTATACATTTTGTAGAATTATTTTAAATTTCCCAATAAACCTATTTCCTTAAAGAACAAAACCAACCTACTTCCCCTCTTTGAAAATTTGGGCAGTTAAATTCATAAAACTTGCATTTTTAAAATTGCTTTTTGTGAACTTGTAAAATCTCTAGGGTAGCTGTAGAAATCTAAAATTTTAAGAGTTTTCAGATTTTAACGAATTCTTTATGTATTCGGAATAAATATTTTTTCCCCTTCCACCTCGTTCCAAATTAACGGTTCTCAAAATTTGGAAAATAAAGTTTTTCCTATTCCTAATTATTTTGTAACTAAAATCATGAAACTAACGATAACTACTTTGGGCATTAAAAAATGTTATTTATTACCTTAACTCACCTTATTATTATACGTCGAATTCGACCATCACGTGAATACATCCTTCATTTCTGAATGTATATTTCTGAATTATGAATTTTTATTGTGAATGTATTTTTTTCATGGTATAAAATAATTTTGGAAAATACTGGAAATTAGTAAAAGTTTCTGTTAAAAACATATTTCAATTTATTTAGAGGAAATTTGCTTCTATATAAATCATTGGTTTCATCTGAAATCAGTAAAAATAATGACCCCATGCTGATAAACAATGTCCGGAGAACTTTTATAAATTACAAAATTTTTGGAAATTTGATTTGATAGGCAAATATATTGTATGCTTTTTGAAAGCTTAAAAAACAAAATATGAGTCTGTCCGTCTGTCTGTTCATCCCTCCGTCTGTCTGTTCATCCGTCCGTTCGTCCTAACTATAAGCCCAAAAACTATTTGTGCTGAATTCATACAATTTTCGCAAACGATTAGTAGTAAATACCGGAACCCTATTTAAAATAAATGTGATCGAGGCAGTAGTTCGGGTAGTTGCCCTAAAGCTTCAAAAGTTATTTGGCACTATCCCACAAGTTATAATATTAAAATTTCGCGAAAACAAGTATATTATTCGGTCTGTTATGTTTGATAAAAATATTTTAAATATCTTGATTTTTGGTTATAGCTACCATATGACCATTATAGCTGGTAATATGACTATTATTTTCTGTAATAATCTTTGGGATGGTATTAGTTAATGTGATAACTTGCATATCATCATGTTTGTATAAATTTTCACTACAAATATAAAAACAAAGTCATGTGAAACAGTGTGACAATTACAATACAGTTCTTAAAAACAATCATTCGTAAAGTTATCACAAAATTGACACGATTAATATTACCAATTCCCGTTTTTTACTGACCGTATTGTGTAAACAATAGGTAGGTTATGTGATGGCAACAAATTTTGCATATCGAGTTTTCGGTGGGAACGTACTTCTTCATAGTAGGGAAGAATAAATAAACTATTTTTAGCAACCTGTCGGTCTGTCGGTCTGTCGGTCTGTCGGTCTGTCGGTCTGTGTGGGCACGCGTGTATCTCAAGTTCGGCTGAACCGATTTTGATGAAATTTTATATGTAAGTTTGTTTCTACCATGGCACGGATCAATCAACTTTTGGTGTATATCAGGCCTCGGGAACTGCACTTTTTAGCGGGCCTGTTTTACATTTTTGAACATTTTGAAGAAAATATTCAACCGATTTACTTGAAATTTTATATATAAGCTCAGCTCAGCAACTGGGCGTTTACTACGGGCCAAATATACATTTTTGTGTATATAAAGAGAAATAATCAACCGATTTCATTAAAATTTAATATATGAATTCCCCGTATTACAAAAATGAACATGTAAATTTTTTGGAAAGATCAGGCATCGGCAACTAGACGTTTACTACGGGCCAAATATACATTTTTGTGTATATAAAGAGAAATAATCAACCGATTTCATTGAAATTTAATATATGAATTCCTCATATTAAAGCAATGAACATATAACTTTTTTGGAAAGATCAGCGCTCGAGAACTGATTTGCGGGCCGATTTTACATTTTTCACCATATCCACAGAACAAATTGATGGAATTTCTTGAAATTTGATATTTGAGTTCTGGTTGTTACCGAAACTAACTGGCGAGCATTTCAGGGAATTCGGGTAGCACAAAGCGAATCTCTACTAAGAGCCAAATTTACATTTTTCTAAGTATGTTAACTATAAGCTTACTAATGTCCTAAAAATTGGAAAGAAGTATTTAACGGACATTTTTATAATATTCTGTAACACTTCCATTTAACTAGACAATATACAATGCGGTCGGTTATGTGCTGACCACATCAGATTTTTTTAAATTGCTATAAAAACTTATAGCAATTGCTATAAAAACTTATACCTAGTTTTGAGAATCATTAATCTTAACATAATATTATGAATATTTAAAAATGTAAATTATAGCTTAGAAGCGTCACTCACAATAAAAATTCTATACATAGTTTGGACGTTCCACTTAGAGCACTATAAATAGGTATACATATAAAGCTTATTTATAAATGATGAAGTATGCACATTTCAAAACTATCAAGAACAAAAGCTAGTCCTTATATTCGTATAATATTTACAATAATTTTTTCAAAAAATAGACAATGCAATATACGACTACTAATAATATATTGCATACACATAATTTATAATTTTGCCAAAATGGAAGTGTCAAATTATTTGTTATAAAAAAAAATTATAATTTATATAATAAACATTGTAGGTGGTTTTGTTACTAAAGTTGTTTCAGTACATGGCCAATAAATTATGGTATTAATAAAAATTACAATATTAAATGTTAAAAATACACTTTGTTTACTTACACTCAAATATACACTTGTATTTTTTTCATTCCTACACAACACATTAAAATTATATGTATGGAAAATTTGCTTTTTCGTTCATAACACAGAATTGTTAGAATGGCATAGAATTCAAAAATTTTTACAATACAACTTCATTAGGTTTGCTTTTGATAGTTAAAAAAAAAGAGAGAATTAAGAAAAATTTTTATTTTCTGCATTAACTGCATGTAAGTGTCTGCGAAACATTAAATTTTTTATAAAACAAGAGAATTATGTCAGAAATTTGAATGAAAAGCTAAAGTTAACCATTCATTTGGCGTTTACTGAAAATTTCTTATATTTTTCTTGATATTGATTTTTTGTTACAAAAATGGCATTTTTCGAACTATTAAAACTTTTGGTATACGAAAGTAAGATTTATTTGTGCGTATAATTTCAATTTTACTTGAAATTGCACGTTATGGCTATCCTATTGGTCTCCTAATCGAATTTAATTTCACATTTTCAATATTCATCATCACATTTCTATATATGTATATTGTAAGTATGCACATTATTATACAAAATGAATTATTCAAATACGAACATTATATATAAAAAAAGTTTCCTATACAACCACACATTCACATTTTGATTTTTTACATACATTGCATATACAAGTATGTACGTGGCATGCCGAAATATTTTTGAACATACAAAACAATAAAAAAATTGTATATTTTGTGAAATATTTGCAATAAAGTGAATTGAGGATGCCATACGATACTAACAAAAAAAAAACATTTTTATAGAAATTTACGCATAAAACGTTAAAAAAATTATTAATATGGTCACGTATTTGCTCATGTCACATCAAAGCCATCATTTATAGCATAGACTAATATAATAATCGAGTATACAAAGGATAATATATGAAAGTGTGTATGTTGCACAAATGAAAATTACACATAAAAGTATAAAGAAGATGTTATTATAGAATTATGATCTTATTATTTTCTTAATACACTCGTCCTTATAAGAACTTAGAAGATGTTAATTGCACTGTCGCCGAATATATTTGTTTGTGTTGGAATATACAACTAGAAGTTTTTGTGTGAAAACATAATTTTTAATGTTATTTTTGCAACCGAATTTAAATATGATTTTTTTCGAAATATTTTTGTATTTGCAAAAAACTCATACATAGAAAAAATTCGACGTTCTATATAAAATTTTTGAACATTATGAGCATAATTGCTTATACACAAATTTAACTTTATTTTTGTTTTTTCATTTTCCTATTTTTCGTCCTGTATTTTGTTTTGTACTCGTATTTCTTATTTTTGTTATTATTTTAAGGTTTTGCTTTTGGTTTTTCTGTAAGGCAGTTAACAGATGTGATGAAAATATGAATAGGTTTTATTTTTGTCAGGGTTAGTGAACAATTATAATATGCGTTGAATGTATAGAAGCTAAATTATATTAAATTATATTAAAGTTCTAGTTAAAACTTTAAAATTTAAAAGAATTTCGTATTTACATTTAAATTTTTTAAATTAATTAAATTGAAACAACATCACTATACTTGGAAAGACCTACGAAAATTATAAGAAATAGGTCATTGAGCATGTTTTAAGCTCAAATTAAGAAAATTTTTGCATTCTATAACACACGTGTACAATATCTTTGAATATCTTACACATTTATATGGATTTGAAAGTGTACTTATTCCAATGGAATCTATACAAAATAAATTTTCCCATTATAGTGGACAGGCAGGTATAGAGTTTTTTTTGCACATGAATCTTATTAGAATAAATGAAAACATGGTATGACCTATAATTTGTTTTAGAATTTTTAGGCTCTTTAAGAATATAAAACTTTTATATGAACAAGGATTATTCATGTAAGCATGTAATATACATAAAAACATATACAAATATAAACACAACATTAAGTATTCAAATGCTTACCTTTATCATATAGCCAAGCTTCAGTAATTTAAAAAATTATTATAGTTTAATGAAGTTTCTATGTTTTTAGAACGTGTACATTTTGTACTTAATTTGCGAAATCTTATACAAAACTTTTGTATTTTAAAATTGTAATATAATAGTTTTTTAGTTCTAAAATAGATTTGTATTTATAGAAAAAATATAGCATGAAATAGAAATCATTAATATTAATTTATCAGAAAAAGTCCAAGTAAAAAATATCACGAAAAATATGATTTCACCGAAGTGAAATGCGAATATGTATAAAATATTTAAAAATATATGTACATTTGTGAAATTGTTGCATAAATATTATAAAATGAAATTGTTGCAACAATGTACTATTTGTATTATAGACCAAATTAGTTTAAAATAAATTCTTTCTTGAAAAGTAAGATATTAAGAACCTAGCTATATTGATGCAATTGAGAATAGAATTTGATATTCCTGCAGAATTTTATTATAAAATATGATCATAAAGTAATATAATCATATAGTAAAATACGAGTAGTATATACATTTCCCACATGATATTTTCATATATATAGGAACTAATAAAACAAACTACAGTGTTAGTCTGACGAAGGAATTGCGCAAAATAATTAAAATATGTGATACAGCAGGGTACTTTAAAGATTTAAAGAACTCAAAGCAAAATCCGATTTTCTGAATAACTTTATTACATACCTTTTTGTCACAGAATTCTGGTATGAGATGAAGAGCAATATTCCCATAGAATCCATATGAACTATTGTCTTAGACGGCATCAGAAATATAAAATTACAGACCATCTTTTCTCGATTAGACCAAATTTTTTTGATATAATGCCTTATGTGCACGTTTGTTCATGGATTTGTGAAAATATTTTTTAAATATATGATAACTATATTATGCCTATATATTTGTAAATAATTCTAGGGTATATTACTTATAATAATTGACATATTACTTGTTATTATTTCTTTCTGTAATTAATTTTGTCATTCTCTTATATGTAAAATCATTTACGTACTTAATCATTGTATCCTTTGGCTTTCGTTGTAGTAATCAGCACAATAATATCCTGATGCAATATATCCTAATATCCTGATATAATTATACAATATGGATAAAAACTTTAGGCGATTTATTAAGACATAAATGAAAATATATTCCTATAAAACATAAATTAACATTTTCCTATAAAATAATTATGCTTTGTACATTTTGAAATAATATTGTGAAACACAATGATTTCTTCAAGTATGACAGTATTATTAGATAATATATTACATTGAAAAGCCGTACATTGTACATATAGAAGCATTAATTTTGTAGGCAAAATAAGTTTAACACACTTGAAAGAATGTTAGTTAATCAATTAAAGTACAGATATGTACCTACACAAATTATTATTACTTGTAAACTAATTTTCTACATAAAAAGTTAAATAAATTTTAATAATTGAAAATTATAAATTTAGACACGTGTAGCATTATGTTATTAAATTGTGTTTATCTTTAGTTCATTGATGTTCCCAATATTTCTCTGTAGCCTATATTTCCACGTGTATGCCTTTATATTTCATAGAAAATAATATGTTACATGAATGTAATGAACTTTTTTTAAATTGACTCATATTCCATATATAGACAAGTAATATAAAAAATAGTAGCAGCCGATATTTTTGTGTGAGCCCTCGAATAATATCAAGTTTTTCTCTGACACTAAAATACTCTGACTTCATGTCATGTAGCCAAGTATCTAATGTTTGCATACTCGTGTAAATCCCCCCATTCAAAGAACAAAAAAAATTTATGTTTACCGAGAAGCAGTACGGTTTTTTTTAAACTGAAAAATAAAATTGGCCCACACTTGTAAATCAAAATTAAATACCTGTTTAAAATATAAAAATATTTTTTTTTATATACTTGACTTAAAACTCTTAAAATAAAAATTTTCTCCTACATAGAAGATAAAAAATTTTATGTAATCACAATAGGTTGAATAAAATATCCTTGAATAATAAAAAAACAAGAAAAAGTTTTCAGAGAATGATAAGGCCTCTTAGAATTCTCCTTTTTTATATTTTATAATTTCATTTGAAATATTGTCACGTAAATATCATAGAATATAGCCGATATTAAGTCATGAGTTATCATCCTTTTTCATATGCACCTACTTAATTTTGAGAATTTAGGCATTAAGAAATTTTTTGGCTCCTTTTTTCGCCATTATCATCAAAACTTTATTAGCATAATGATCATTATCGCCATTACGGTCAGCCAAGAGAGAACAAAAGTTACATACATACATATGTACATATATATATGCAATACATTTGCATGCTTATACATAAATGTGTGAACATGGAATATGTTTTTAAAATAATGTATAAAGCTGGTTTATAAAGTTATTTAAGTAGAATAATATATTGTGAAAAAGAAAATCCTGCCAAATTTAGATAAATGGTAATAAATAAAAAAATAATTACAGATACACGAGAATTTATATTTTCGCTTGGTATGTGCCTAGTTGAAATGTAATACTCTTCGTGTTTGTTGTTTTGTTATCTTTAGATTTAATCATTTTTAATTCTTTAAATTATAACAATCACAAATGCCTTAAACAAATTTTTACAATTTCTCTTACCCAAAACTTACTTTTGTTTTTTTAAATTATCAGCATACGGAAAAAAATAAAGTAAATTTAAGTCTTCGGTATAGAGGAAAAGATCGTGAAAACTTCAAATGAATCGCTACAAGCACTCGCCGTACTTGAAAACTACATCTTAAATATTTCTAGAGACATAGTAGAGTAGTCAATAACGTTACTTCTTGAACTGAGAAAAAACGACATTAAAACAATCAAAAGTAAAAGCACTTTTACAAAAATTAAATTTATTTTTAATTTTTAAAACCGAAATATTTAAATGAATTGTAATGTTTATAAATACAAAACCGGAAATTAGAAAAATCTTAATCCCTTGTAATTAGTAATTTAGTTTTATTGAAGTTTTGCTTAACATATATACTAACTATATAGCTACATATACACATCTAAATGATAAAGAACTTATAAGCACAACTTGAATATTTTAAAATACTGCTCATCTAAAAATTTTCGAAAAAGTTTTATTGCTTTACAGCGTAAAAGTAAAATTATCATTTGTCTTTTTGTAAATGTTTTAATTTTTACCAAACGTAAATAAGTAAAATAATTAGAAAAATTACTTGACACATTTTAAAAAAAAAATATAAATTTTGCTGAAAATTCAAAATAGAATTAATTTTTGTTAATCTGGTACTTAAAGGTACTTAGTTAGAATATAATATCCAACCTTAACGTCAAGCCTGTAATGATGCCAACAAAGTAAAATTAGAAAACAAGTCATACACAATTGCGGGGTTTATTTTGCTAGCAATATGTAATATTGAATAAGATAAGCGAAGTTATGT